TTGAAAATTTTTCTGGCCAAGGTAGGAAAATATTTTGGGGCCTCGGTTTTAGCTAAATCCGTGGCCTCCAAATATTTTTCTCACCTCGGCATTGATATTTGATGGTACTTAACTTAACCTCATCCAAAATTGCCTAATACGTCACATTGATCAATCTAGAGGGGCCTTTCAAAATGCTTCTCGTAGAAGCATTCATGATAAGAATGTCAATTGTCTAGTATTTAAGAATACTCGTTCGACTTATTTGCGAAAATTTGTGCTCGTTCTCACGAAAGGTCATTGCACTTACCAGGGCAAAAACCATTTCCAGTTTTCGCAGGTACGATATCATGTTTCGCAGTGCACTCTCCAAATTCATCAACTGCTGAACGGCTGCTGCACCGTCAGGAAATCTCCGGAAATTGACGGTAGAATTTTGAATCAAGGATAGGAAGCTGCTCAGAATATTTTTATCAGCAAGGAGAAGTCTTCCAGGCTGAAAACAAGTTGATCATTAGCCGTTAGAGAATTTCGTTTCAGAATAAACTGGTTCATTTAGACAATGTCATTTTCTTAGATTAGATGACGGTATAAGGTCTGAATATAAAAGGGTTACACACATCGAGTATTGAAGAGATTGGAGGAGAATACTGAGCAAAAAGGACGTACCTGTAATCTGCTTCTAATTCAGCGGTTGTTGTAAAGAGAACGAAAATTCGGCAGTTGTCCACTGGTCAGCTGGGGTGAGCCATTGCTTGGACTAAACAAAACGTTGAAGTGAAATGAAAGCAATCCAAGAAACAAAATTGAACATTGAAAATCACTTATAGTGTATTTAGTTTAATGAAAAAATTGACCCTCTCAGTCATTTAATAAATTGATTGCGTTACTGAAAGATCCATCGACTGATCAATCTGTTAATGAAGAGTACCAAATTTGGAGCCAATTGGCCCAAGTCATGCAGTGAATCTATCAATCAGATAGTTTCTCTAAGCAAGAAACTAAGTCATTAATCAATCTATCTAGACAGCCCCTCGAACAATTCTGTGGGCAACCCGTCAACTTAAAAAATTTGTTTTTAAGTGGAGAATAGAGAATAGATTTCATTCAGAGTTTTTTCTTTCTATGGAAGTTGATTCCCAAAGAGATTGAGTGACTGATTTACTGAATGACTCACCGACTGACTGACTCACCCAAAGACTGACTTACTGTCTGACTGCATGAGGCCTGAATGGTTAGTTGCCGAAGGATCTACTGAAAACTCTGAGTTACTTTTTTACTCAAGGCATTCTTCCTTGCTCACTGACCGATTTATTGAAACTAGGCTAATGTATGAAACAAAATTTCAGACTTACTACATTCACATACGACCTATAAACGTCTCCTCCGAGTATCAATGACATCGGTAATA